CTCTGCATAAAGCCTGTTTTATGCTGTGAGACCCTCTTTCATCTAAAGTGTCTTAATATATCCTGAGGAAATCCCAAACACACATTACAATAATGCTCTGCTTCCTAAAAGGTATTTGAATGCCTAGTTACAAGCATGTCTGGGGTGGAGGGAAGCTTACAATATTCGACAAGAAATGTACTCATTACCTTACTTATATAACTGTAACTCCTCTATACATTACCTTTACAACAAAATAAAATTAAATTTAAAAAAGAGTATCTCAAAGTCTGTATTCCAAAAATGGAAAAAGCTTAAGACTGAAAATCAGCTTCAGGAAGTAGTGCTGGGGCTCAGAATGGTAGAGCATTAGCCTTGAGCAAAAAGAGCTCTGGGACAGGCCCTGAGTTCAATCCCTGTGACCAACAAAAAGAAAGAAAATCAGCTTCAGGGATACATTTGAACACAGAAAACCAACCTAATCTTATTCTTCTATTGCTTGAAACAGAACATATCTCCTTATGAAGGAATAGAGTTTTTGAGGCATGTTTGGTGACTGACTTTTACCTCTTCATTTTTACCTCTTCAATTTTTGAGAAGCCTTTTGGAAGGGACTGTAAGACTTATAAGTACTGAGCTGAGTTAATCTGCTTTCTCTTTCTCTGATTATGACACGATATCTGAGATAATCGACTTAGAAGATTTATTGTGGTTCAATATCAAAGGTTTCCTTCTATAGTTACTTAGCCAGTTGTGTTGGGCCAGTGGCAGCACAGTATTCCTTGACAGTAGTGAAAGCCAGAGGAGGTAGGAAGTGAAAGACAAAGTACTAGGTTTATAATATCCTCTTTGAGGTCACTCTTCTAGGCCCCCTGACTACAGATTTTACCACCTTCAAATATCATCATAGGCTGATAACCATGTCTTTAGTATATGGGCCTTTGGGGAATTAATATAGTAAACGAATATTTTAGAGTAAGGATATTTAGTGATACCTTATTGCCTAAAAATAGGTTATTGAGCTAAAAATGCAATGAAGTTACATGACCTATACTATTGTTGCATATCTTAAGACTTTTTGCAGTATCATCAAATTGGATTTCCTTCTAGCTCTACATTCACATGTGGAAACTATTATTATGTTATATGATCAGTGTCATGGAAAGAATATAGTGTGTATGTGTATGTAATAGAATAAAAGAGATGTATTAATTTAGTTTCTCTTCTGCCAAAACGAGGTGATAGATATAAGCAAGTAATTCATTATTTTCAAACCTCAATTTCCTTAGCAACTATAAAAGGGCCGGGAAGGTGGCTCAGTGGTAGAGCGCTTGCCTTGCATGCATGAGGCCCTGGGTTCGATTCCTCAGTACTACTTAAGCAGAAAAAAAAAGCCGGAAGTGGCGCTGTGGTTCAAGTGGTAGAGTGCTAGCCTTGAGCTGAGGGACAGCACCGAGGCAGGCACAGAGTTCAGGCCCACGACGGGACCCGAAAAGAAAAAAATATAACTTCACTATTTGAGAGTCATTAACATGAAGTTCTGTTTTAAATTTTACCCTACAGATTTGGTTTTTAGTTAAATGACAAAGTAAGGCACATACATTCTGAATTCAAATACTAACATAGACCTTATGAACTAACAAAGCAGAGTACTAATTGAGTAAGGTGAAGATCTCAGGTAAATTTAAACTTAAACTGACAAAACATAATGACATTTCTTTCTTGCTATCCATTATTTTACATCCTCTTGGTGTCAAATTGTCTTTATAGCATGGTCTATAGGTCTTTAACTCCTTTAAGGTCTGAACTCTGATAAGACCTTTGGAATATTTTAGATTGTGAAAAGTCAAAGAACCAAACTTGCTTATTTAGGAAATATGTAATTCATGAACTACATTTGTTACTAAGCATTTCAGATGCAACTGAAATTAAAGGGGCTCTGTTTTATTTATTTAGCATTTCTTCATGTATTTATTAGCCATGTGTATTTCTTTTTCTAAGACTATCCAATTTGTCAACTGACTGTTGCTCTGAGATTCTTGTGTATTTTGGATATGATTCCAAAATTATTGTTATTCATTTTATAACTGGCAGATTTATCTCCCATTTTGTAGATTTTCTTTTTTTCTTACCCCAAGTCACATCCTTTATAAGACACACAGGTACAAAAATGAATATATCTGGTGTTGAAGATAGCAATATATTCCATAAAACTTAAAAATAAAAACAATTGGGGCTGGGAAGTTGGCTCAGTGGTAGAGCGCTTGCCTTGCATGCATGAGGCCCTGGGTTCGATTCCTCAGCACCACATAAGCAAAAAGAAAAAA